TCGTGGGGCACAGGCATGGCAGCTGAGGCCCCGGGGCCAGGAGGAGAGTTTGGCTGTGCTCCCTTCCTGTCCCGCCCCAGCTGTACCCCCAATGAGGATGCCTCAGGAGGGGATGCAACCCACAACCACATTTCCTGGACCTCTTTGTTGTTGAACTTGATGAGTTCTATAGAGAGACAAGGTTGTTGAGGTAATACTTTTTTCTCTGTTGCTGAGAGACAGATGTGTGAGCCACACAGAGCTCTTCTACCTTTCCTACACCTGAGGAAGAGCTCTGTTCAGCTTGAAAGCTTGTCTTTTTCACCAACATAAACTGGTTATGTAAAAACTGTTATCTCATCCACTTTGTCTCTAATATCCTGGGACCAACGCAGCTATAATAACCTGCACTCACCTGATAAGTGATGGCAGACCTAGATCTTGCATGTGTGCTGCTGAGGTTTCCTTACTCAAGGGAGAGTGAAGGTTAGCCTACTTGGATTGATGCAACCTGAGGTTGCTTTCTCCCACTATCTTACCACAGGAAGTAACACTTGAACCAGCAATCAAGGCAATTGCTTCTCCTGAAGTTTCCCTGCCACTTCCACACTCCTGCACATCTCTGCTTTCTGCAAATGCCATACTCCTCCAGTCCTCCCACTATCTACTTAGCCAATACTCCCCAGTTCCACAAATTTTGATAAAGGATGTTGTGTTGTGATTCCTGTCAGTAATCTCCTGTGTCTCTCCCATTCCCAGGGGCACCATTTAGGGAGGAGGATTCTTGCTCCCTCCCCCACAAGTTTTGCACCACTATAGTTTTCCCAATAGAGAGGTGCTAGGGGAGAGCTTACCTGTGGCTATAGCTATCCTAAAATTTTCCTTAGGCACTCCTCTCAGAGCTGGGCACCCAGCCTGCCACTGTAGCCCTGGTAGTCTTCTTTTCTTTTGGAAGCTGATTCATGGCTTGCATGGAGCCAGGTGAGCTCACCTGATGCTAGAGATAACCATAACCGAGTGGGTCTCTGCTGAGCTGGGATGGGGGAGAGAAAGGGAGCCTGTCTGTGCTGGTGCCTCAGGCTCAGAAGTGGGAGCTGCAGCTACTGCTGTATGATACAAGCATTCAGTCTCCTGAATGAATGGCTTTCAGCTCAGACACACACAGTCTCCCCCTCACCATGCTCCTCAACACCCCCACTCCTATGCTAACACAGTTTCCCACATACACTCCCCCAATGCACGCACACACTTTAACACACTTGTATTATTATTATAATTTTATGTCTTGATATTTCCCGTTGAAATGCACAATGTACATATATTGTCTGTATTTTCTTCTTACAAAATTTGTCAAGGATTTAAGTACTGTTGTTAGTTTTTGACAAGTCTGCGAATTTCATAGTTTTATTTCTCTCATGCTTATTTTTAATTCTTTGAGTAGTGAGTTCTAAAGCTTATAACCTGTCCTGGCTGGAGTCATTATCATCACTTTTATTATCCTATTGTGCTTTGTCATTAATTATTTAAAGTGGCACAGACAAATAATAGTACCCTTCTAGCATGCAAATGTAGCTTGTACTCACCTTTGTAGTGCCAGTTTTTATTTAAAAAAAAAAAGCTAAACACATAGCTTTAGACTCCTTACTGCAGATGAAGATCATTTATTTGCAATCTGCATTTTTAGTTATATCTGGAAAATAACTTAAAATGTGTATGAAAATAAGTGAGGTTCCCAGTCTGATAGTAATGTTAGAGTCAGTGTTAGTGGGTCCCCGGCATAATTGTGATCATTAAACAGAAATGCCAAAATAACTAGAAAAATCAATTTGCATTCTTAAAAGAGGAAAAAAAATTAATCATATGTGCTAAAAATTAAGTACACACCTTTTTAGTGGAGTGAAAAAACAGATGACTAATATAGAGTAAATAATGGCCATAGAGAAAGTAAGCCGATTTTAAGCAGATTTATTTATTTTTATTTATCCCTAAAGATAGTGTACAAAGAATCAAACAGGTGTTTCTGATATCTGTGTTAAGTCTCCAGAACGGATTCTTGAAGTCTTAGGATTGTTTCTGGAGTAGGAGTGGTGTGGGTGAGTCTTGGAGTGTCAAGGAGGCTTTGTGTGGTAGGAAAGTTAAAAGGCAGGTAACTGACTGATAATGTAGTCGATACAATTTGCACTGGCTTCTGTTTCCCTCCACTTGCTGCCTCTCATACAGAAGTGGGTGGGAGGGGAAGCAAGTAATCAATTACTAGACTCTACTATTACAAAACTAAACTTTATTTATTAATCCCAATCACCTGACACTAGTCAGAATCATAAAAGTTTAATAGTTCTATCATGGCAGATATCAGTATTCAATGACTTCAAGGATTACTGTGTCAGTCTAGTGTTCTCTCCCCAGGGCCCCAGGTAATGTCTCTGTTCCCTGTTCCTGACTCTCTGACACAGGAAAAACCATTCATTCTTAGTGAGCTGCCTCCCTAATCTGTCTCTGACTCAGCAAGAGGTTGGATTTACAGGAATTGGAGCTGCTTTCTAGACTTGCCAGTCAGCCTGGAGATTTTAACTCCTCATTTACTGGCATCAGTCAGAAAGAAAGGACCCTCTCCTCTCCTATGCAGGCTGGAGAATCTGTGCCTTACTGATGGAAGAGTTAAGTGGAATGTAACCCCTAATTCCCATATAGGAGAATTAGTACTTAAAGGAGAGACTGCTTCCTTCTCAATCACCCCTGGTTCTCCACGCAGTACAGCACTCACTAACGCCATGTTTGGGCAGAGGGCTGAGTACACGGAGGAATGGGCTCCAGGGATAAGTTCTTATTAAAGCATATAATTTGGATTTTTTATTTGTTTCTGGATTTTTTATTCTTTAGGGAACACTGAGTCACATTTTCAAGCTTTTTCTCTGCAATTCTGAGAGTAACTTCCCTTTTTTTTTTTTAAAGAAAGTTGAGGTTCTCATATAATTGTGTGACTTGTGGCAATGGAAAAACACCACACGTCAACAGATTTGTGATATAGTCACCTTGCATTCACCAAATAAATTTACCAACATCAAGCACAGAGAAACTAGCTTGCAGCCAGTGGAATAAACTTAATCTAAAAGTGGAGGGGCATAAGCAGATGGGTCTGCAGATGAACTTGAATTTCCCCTCCTCCCAAAAGACTCTAGTAGCATCATGTGCTGTATTTATAGTATAAAAGCTACCGCATTTGTGCACATTTGTTTACACTTGAATGTTTAGTTTTAACATTATTTAGCACTAACTTAAATTCTAATGCAGAGGCTACACAAATATTTGTTCTAGAGCACAAATGTTTGTTTGTAATTGTGCTAGCATCTCTAGCAATAAGAATTTGTATCCTGTTTGCATTAAAATCTACATTGGATACAGTACACTGTTACTTTACTGCCAAAAAAAGCTTTAATGCAGAGTTAAGGTTACCCCATGCTAACTTGTGGCCTTCCAGAATGCTGAGTTCATGTACTCTGAAAAACAGGAAATAAAGAGTTAAGATACAGACTACTTCTCCTCCACAAGTGTGACTGGAAGGAAAGCATCTTCCCAGTTTAGAGTACAGGCAGTCCCCGGGTTACATACAAGATAGGGACTGTAGGTTTGTTCTTAAGTTGAATTTGTATGTAAGTCAGAACTGGTACATATTATAGGGGAAACTCTAGCCAAACATTTTTCCAGAGCTCAGTTTTATTCTCCCACACCTCACTTCCCTCAGTCTTTATTCTCAAGCTGAGGTGTCTGCTGAGAAAAGCCGCTCCTTGTCTCCCTGGTCTGCTGGAGGGGGGGCGCTAGCTTCCCGTCTCCCTGGTCTGCTGGGGGGAAGCAACTAGTGCGGGGTTGCCTCACTCCGTTTGTAAGTAGGGATCTGATGTAAGTCGGATCCATGTAACCCAGGGACTGCCTGTAATCTGCTTTATAATCAGCTACAGCTATCCTTAGACAATATCAGGCAGAGCAATATTGAGGCATACTCTGATATCAAGTGTTACCTCAGTTTCCACAAACATTCATTATTAGCCTGATATTTTCCTGTTTTGTATATCTTTCTTGTCATACTATCTTGGCATCACTGATTCTAGTGAATGGCTTTTGGAGCAAGTCTTTGGGATCAGAAATTTTTGGGTGATAGTATTTATCTCCTCTGATTGCTCTCTTGGACTGTAACAGTGGCCATACTTTTTGGGACAGATGTCTGTGATTCCATTTCAAAAAATGGTTGTCACTAATTTTACCTAGTTGCCTTTCCACAGGGAGATCAGTGCTCAAGATTCAAAAAAGATGACCGTTATTGTATAAGTGTCTGTTCTAGGATATTGAGTATTTCCTTCAAATACCCCTAGTGTAGGACTTTCTGCTGCTATTTTTGAAGAGTTGCTTAACTTTGTGTTTCTATAAAATAAATACACCATATGAATCCTCATTCATTCTGTTTCTCATGTAATTATTATTGTATTAATCCACTATCTTTCTTCATTAGAGAGACAAGGTGGATGAAGTAATATCTCTTACTGCAAT